GAGGGAGATGGGGAGTTTCAGCCGGCGGCAGCAAGGACCCAGCCCGGGGATGCTCTTGGGTTTTCCTGCTGCGGGCAGGTCGGGTGGGGAAAGAGGCTCCCCTTGTGCTGGGCGTTTTAGGCTGTTCTCACGCATTGAACTGCCTGGAAAAACCGTTTGGTTCAGTCGAACCGTTGACTTGAAGTTTCAGCCAGCGAATAGAGCTCTTATTTCATGGTGAGAGAATTAAATGAAACCTAGTTTCTTGAACAGGAAGAAAATATGAAATTAGAATCTGTTCTGCTGAGCCCTCCTTGTGTTCGGAGCTCCCATTCAGCACTTCCCGGGTTAACATCTGGGTTAGAGTGGGGTGCGATTTCCAGGCTGCCATGAGGAACGGGTGTTTCAAAGCAGTGGCACACACCTCTGGTTAGTCACAGAACCGCAGAATGGTTGAGGTTGAAAGAGACTTCTGAAGGTCCAACCCCCCTGCTCAAGCAGGGGCTCCCAGAGCACATGAACCAGGATTTTGTCCAGATGTTTTTTGAGTATTTCCAGGGAGGGAGATTCCACAACCTCTCTGGGCAACCTGTGCCGGTGTTCAGTCACCCTCACAGTAAAGAAGTTCTTCCTTACGTTCAGGTGGAACTTCCCGTGCTGCAGTTTATGCCCATTGCCTCTCGTCCTATTGTTGGATGCCAATGAGAAGAGTCTGGCCCCATCCTCTAGACACTCTTCCTTTAGATATTTATAAACATTAATTGGATCCCATCTGAGTCGTCTTTTCTCCAGGCTGAACAGGCCCTGCTCCCTCAGCCTTTCCTCATATGAAAAATGCTCCAGTCCTTTAATCATCTCAGTCGCCCTTCACTGGACATGCTCCAGGAGTTCCATGTCCTTCCTGTACTGGGGAGCGCAAGAACTGGACACAAGGTCCCTTCCAATCCCTAACATTCTGTGATTCTGTGTAAACCAGTGTTGAATGCTGGTGCCCCAGTCCTCTGTTTTTCTAGGTATGCTCATTGAAGAAGTGTTTAGTACAGCTAACAAGAGAATGTTCAAGACAAGAATTCTCAGTACTCAAAGGCGTGGAGAAATTTGAACTTTTCCATTTGCAGCCAGTTAGCTATTACGGGTTGCTGATAATTCCTGCCACTTATTTGCAAAGCTTCTGCCTCCAGGAAGCAACTTTAAGGAATAAAAGGAAACAGTGAGGTCTAAAATGGTGATACTGACAGCATCCTGTGGTGAGAGGCTTATTTTATAAATTTTGGTAAGTTACTACTGTAATTATTAAAGCTTTCTCGGGGATTCTTTCCCAAATACTTCACTGGATAGGGTTACAAAATGAAACAATGTTTTTGAGAATAAATAAGTTGTACTTCCTTCATGTGTTTTTTCTTCATTGTGAACTCATAACTTTTCCATATATAAAAAATCCTCTAGATTTTGAAGTGTTTTGCTCTAGATAGGTTATTGTTCTGAATGTTGAATGTGCTAATGTTCTTGAGATGATAGTATAGCACCTTTGAAGGATACTGTCAGTGAAGGAAGTGAGCATGGAGATAAGAAATACTAAAACAAGAAAAGATTTTTCCACTTGAAAAGACAGCCTGGGTGCATTTGCAGATGAGATCTGTAAGTTTCCCTCAGAAATGCTGATGCCCTTCTATAATAGAGTGAGAGGTTTTTTGGTTTTATTCTTTTCTTTGGGTTTTTTTTTCCATCAAATGATCTCCAAACTCTGGCCTCTTGCTTCCAAATTAGCTTCCAGCACATGAACCTGAGAGCTGGCAAGTAGTCTTATGAGCCTGGCAGAATGCTTATTGGAGGGATTAGGGTCTGCAGACCACAAACTAAGAGATGTATTTTGAAGCCAAACAAAAAATACATCCTTATAAAAACAAACCCAAGAATTAATGTAATGAAACTTGAGGATTTCAAAGTTATGATATTGTAGACAAATTCTTTTGCCAAGATGCAGTCCTTCTTATGCTTTAGACATAAGACAGTCTAGATAATACAGAAATAAGTTTTTATTTAAAATTTTTACTGAGAAAAAAAATCTTTCATGCTGTATGGCCTGGTAGAGTAGCCAGGTAGTTAGCAGAGGGCCTGTCATGATCATCATATGTTGCAGAAGTCCAGTTGCCACAAACTTGGTTGAATCAATGGATTATTATGAAAAAAATAAATTCAAGAAATGCATTCATTTACTTGAAATGAATTAACATTTTAGTGGGCATGATATATTTTGTCTTGAATTTAGACGCAAGGATTTTTCAGCTGCATGAATAGCCATATCTCCGTTAGCTTCAAAATATCAATTGACTAAGCTTAAATGCGGCTGTGGTAGGTTTACACTCATACTTTGCCAGTTTTGTTTCTATCAGTGTGTTGCTTAACTGGGATGTGACATACAGAGTCTTGATTTTAAAATATTTGATAAGAATAAATAGAAAATGTTAACAGTAGCGCATCTGGTTTTAATTTTGGCTTTTTTTAAGGTAGAAGCATTAAGGATTATTTTACTTTTTGTTTTATTTAGGGCTCAGAGATGGATTCATCAGAACGATCAACGATTAGAAGTGAGCAGAAATCCAGGTAACTTGTGTTGCAAAAGTTATACAAAACTGTCTCTTAATGAAAATCTGAACACACGGTGGAAATACATTACTGAAAATTGGATACGAGAACAACACCATGGCTGAAAACTTGAAATGATCCCTGAAAGCAGTTTCTTCATTGCCCATGTGCTTCATACTTGGTTAAGCTGTTCATGAAGAATAAATAATATTATATGAGAGGAAACAATTTGTGCTGAATGAAGCAGGAAGGCATGGGGATTCTCAGCAACATATTCTTTGTAGGCATTAGCTAGCAGCCTTATCTACATGTTAATTAATTGCTTTGCCTGAGGCCATTTCAAGTTAAACATTATCATTTTAGCCAGGTAGTTTCAGATGATTGTGAAATAAGAGGTGTTAAACATCCATTTGCCAGATTAACAGGAATTAAAAATCTGTAAAGGTAGTTTTGAAAGTCAAGGGAATTCTAAGGTTCTGTATTATTGAAATCCCTGTTTGTATACAGTGATTTCACTGTATGGTTTAAATGCATTTGCACTTCTTTGCAAAGTAATCATGAAAGGCAGACTTTCTCCACGGTTTCCTTTGCTGGTTTACACAGTGAATACTGACGTAGAACCAAATACACTTTTGAGAGTCATCTATGGTTAGTAACTAGCCCACTAGAGTCAGATATCTGACTAGAGTAATCTGAATAGTGGGCTAGATGAACCCTTGATCTGAACAAGTGTGGCTGTTCTTACATTCATATATCCTAAAGTGAGAATAAAAAATACTTCTTTCTTCTCAGAAAAACATAAATTTGCTTCTTTGAAATATTGTGACTTGGCCCTTTGAAATAATTTGACTCACTTTCTATCAGACGTGTATTAAGTAAATTATTGGACAGTCCTTCAACTACTTTTTTTCCTGAGTTTCATTTGAAATGGCGTTTGGCTAGCCCAAGGTACTGAAAATTGGTAAAGGTTAGTTTGGATCTCAAAGACATTAGTGATTTGAAGTTGTTGCTGGTTTTTGGCTTAAATTAAGTATGCACACTTTCTTGTCCAAAATGACAAAAAGACTTAAAGTACATACACTGGCTGTGAACTACTGCCAGTACCAGTCTTCTGCATAGAAATGGAGAACTTTGGTTGGTTGTTTAGTAGTTTGCACAAGTGCTAATAGTTCATGTGGACTTCTTGAGACAGTCATGAGATCTTCAGACAAGTTAGAAAATGCACTGTAAAAAAAAAAAGATTTTTAAACAAAAGATTTTTGTTTTCTGTTTTAAAGAAAATTCTTAAAAAGTCTAATAAGAAAGCAGCCTCGGGACCTTCTTCTTGTAATTGGAACTGGGGTAAGTGCTGCAGTAGCACCGGGAATCCCAGCACTGTGCTCCTGGAGAAGCTGCATCGAGGCTGTAATTGAAGCAGCGGAACAGCTGGAGGTGCTTCATCCGGGAGATGTTGCTGAATTTCGTAAAAAAGTCATCAAAGATAGAGACTTGCTTGTGGTTGCACATGATCTCATCAGGAAAATGTCACCAGTGAGTATGTATGTTCATAACTTACACTGATTTCTAGAATTATTATATACTTTTGTTATCAGCAAAAATTATTTTCAACTTTATAAAACTTGAAATTTTTCTGGTTAAAACCTGAAATTTTTCTGGTAATCATATGTCTGTTTTGGAGAGGCTAAAAAAATCTTTTGTTTTTAATAGTAAGTAAGCTTTTGTCATAATTAATGTAAGCAAGAGTCTTGACTATTAAATATTCTCGGTAATGCTTCCCGGAGCTGAAAGAGGAATTTGTAGCTCTGCTGGCTAAAACTAGAGCTACCCTGAAAATACAGGTAGACCTTGACCCTACTGATAGCCTTAGATCACACAAGACTTAATCACCGCTGCAGCTCACGCTTCACTGAAGACAGTCCATACATGCCCAGTTCCTCAGATGTTCATCTCCGGCTCCAGAAATTTTCAGATTGTGTTAATTGGTTTGCCAGGTCTTCTAATTTAAATAATTTGGGTGAGGCACATGCTGCTAAGTTGTAGAATTTTTTGAGTGTTTTGCAACAGGTGGTGAACTTCTCTACACACAAAGTGTAATAACCACCTCTCTTTTGGGAGGAGTCTGCATGTATGGTTAGGCTTTGTGGCAGATTTAATGATTAGTACATTTTTCTCAACCAGGGAGCAAAAAAAACCCAAAACCAACCCAAAAATCCCCCAATAATAGTATATCCCAGACACTGAATCCAGGGAATGACAATTTTAGTACAGTAACTGATTTTCAAAGCAGTAAAAGCATACTGAGAAAGGTGAGGTGTCCATGTAGTTAGGCCAGTAACTATATTTTGCTTATAAACTGACATTTGTTCTGTGTGTAATACAATTTATTGGATAGGAAGCCTGTACGTTTTATAGAATTGTTACAAGTTCCTGTCAGTCTCAGCAGATACTCTGGGCAAATGCTGCCTACGCTTTTAGGAAAGTGTACCTTCATGCTTGTTTAGAAGTGACGAGTGAGGATTTAACTATAACTAAATAGTTTTGGTTTATTGTACCTGTATTACACCCTTCCTTGAGAAAATCAGACTATTATTTTGAGCTACATTCAGTGGGGGCAAAAGCACTTGAGTAATTTGAGGTTGTTTTTGATGGTTTTGTACATTCGGACCTTTATGCTTTGTATACTATATAAGCCCTCTTTTAAAGAAATGCTTTGTCATTCAAGTAGACAAATGATGTGTTTTTTTCTGTTGGAGGCAATTAATAATGGTGCATGTGGTCCTTATGAAGTGTTCATCTTTTTCTTTCTTCAGCGTACTGGGGATACGAAGCCCAACTTCTTCCAGGATTGCTTAATGGAGGTGTTTGATAATTTAGAACAACACATTCAGAATCCTGTTGTTCTGCAATCAATCCTGAGACTCATGGAGAGAGGCACAATGGTTCTGACTACAAACTATGATAATTTACTTGAAATATTTGGTCAGCAGCAGAGTAAACCTATGGAATCTTTAGACCTGAAAGATAAGGATAAGGTATGATGAGAGCAGTAGAAGTTTTAGACTAATTATAAGAGAAGGCAGCTCATAAGCTTCATTGAAAGTTGTTTTCCTGTTTAAAGAGTGTCAAGGCTAAAACGTAATTAGTAAAGCATGCCTATAAGATAACAGCAGATGCACAGACATTTATTTTCTTTATCTTTTTGTTCTGAATAATCTGGTAACGGTTACCAAACAGAATTTCAGTGACACATTTATTAACCAATTCCCCCCCACTCCCTGGGAAAAAAATAAACAAACCACAAACTTATTTAATTTACACGAAGTAACTGTTACAGTCACAAATATGATTTTACTTAGCTGGCAGTTAATTTGCTGTTCATATCTTTTGTGTCAGCATTGCTGGAACTTGCTTCTTGGTTGAATGCTTGTTTAGACCAACAAGCCAGAGATACCTTTAGTATCAGGAATCACCTCTTTATTATAATTTAAATTAAGCTGTGTAATTAGTAATTAAAATTATTTCTTGCTGCAGAACATTGCAAAAGAAGTTATTTCTGCTTTAAGTGGTTTTATAAGTTAGGGCAGTTGTATATTTTTGCAGGACCTTAGTTATTATAGGATAATAAAAGAATGTAACTTGCATGATTTGCTTTAGGTTCTTCAGTGGGCGAGAGGTCATATCAAATATGGAGTTCTTCATATTCATGGTTTATATACAGATCCCTGTGGAATGGTGCTTGATCCCTCGGGATATAAAGATGTCACTCAAGATCCTGAAGTCATGGTTTGTGTGATCTTTAAAATTTGTACTGTATTTTGCCAAACTATGTTATTGTAATCACTGCATACACATTACCTAAGGCTAGGGTTTTGTCAGATCATAGAGATTAAATAATTTGGGCCCAGAAAAGTGGCAGTGTTATTGAGAAAGCCAGCTATGTTGCTCGGGCAGTGTATGCTCGTGTATACTGCTTCTTTGTACATCACAATCAAAACCCTCAGCTGTATGTCATAGAGCTCTTTGTATTTATCTCATGAAAGAGTATTAGTCCCCAAATCCTCCACACCAGAACAAGGATTCTTCACCATCTTATTGCTTGGATTCATTTTTTAGGGCCTTAATCTGTTACCTGCTCTGGATCCTGGACTTAATGTCATATCCTAGGTATTTTGAGAAGTCAAACATTTGGTCAAGAATATTAATTTTCCTTATTTACAGACTGACCTAATGAGATCCCGATATTCTATCATCATAATTCTTTCAATTTAAAATTCCCTTACTGGAAATATTTACATAATGTGTACTTAATTTTGCATGGTAACTTTGATTTTGAATATAATTTTTTTTGGTAGAAAGAGCGCTTACAAAATGTCAGTTTACCTCAATCCTAAAACATAATTCAGTTCAATAGTGATGTCTGCTCTGTTTCTCCTTTTAAGTCTGATGTATTTTAGAAGTTCTTACCTTGGCCTTTTGACTACTGAAGTAAGTGTAGCTCTTGCATGTTTATATTTCTTAACAGGAAGTTCTTCAAAATTTGTATCGAACCAAGTCTTTTTTGTTTTTGGGCTGCGGAGAGACTCTGCGTGATCAGATATTCCAGGCTCTTTTTCTTTATACTGTAAAGAATAAAGTGGATTTAGAACATTATATGTTGGTGCTTAAAGAAAACGAAGACCACTTTTTTAAGCTCCAGGCAGATATGCTGCTGCACGGAATAAAAGTAGTGTCCTACGGGGACTGCTTTAAACAATTCCCAGAGTACGTCCAAGACCTGACAGCTCAAATCTGCAAGCAGAAAAGTCCAGGTAATGTATCCTCTTTAATAAGCAAATTTTGAGTAGGTAGATAGCAGAATGCCACGGCTGCACAGTCAGCAGTTGGTCTGAGGTGTTGACTGCATGCGTAGCTAGCGCTAGGCCTGTGCAGCATCTTTGGTTATGAATGGCATGCAGAGTTGGAACATGTGACAAAATTGTAACTGAGTTTCTTTCTGTAAGGTCTGTGGTGGATTCTCGCAAATTTAATCTTTAATTCCGAATTTATCTTTTTGTTCACGTTTGGTTAAGATGTTTACTTTGTGTATTTTTTCGGTGTGAACTACTCCAGTATATTGAGTATTACGTTATATGAAATATGACATGTTGTTAAAAGAGTCTAAAAGAACTGAAGGGATTAACTGGTGGGATAAGCTGTTTGAGCCACAATATCTGATTAAGCATAGAATGGGAAATTAAATCAGTACACCTAATAGTGTTTGGCTTAACACAGAGCAAACAGGGAGAAAACCTGAGCGTGAGGATGATGTTTTGTGACAATAAAATAGAACAGGCTGTGGAATAATACCCCATATGTGACAGCAAATGGCATTCTGTAGAGGGCATTTAATGCTAAAATGGGAAATAACTCTATACCTTGGTTAAGGTAACAGTCCTGCATCGACAGGGAGCTAGATTTTACTAACTAGGTCCATTCACCTACTTTCCCCCTGGCTCCCTTCCATCCTGTTGTCTCTCAACTCATAAAATTCCTTAGCTGTAACAATGAAGAGCCTTTAATACAAAACCAGGGAAAACCAACAAATGTATGTTGAAGGAAAGAGATTTCTTTAATATTTTCCAAACAAGGATGGTTCTACTATGGCTTATCCAGAGAACTGAGGACAATAACTAGAGTAAATGACCTTGGGAAGAGTACTGTTTCACAGCTCTTTTATTTATCATGTCAGTGAAACTGTTTTGTCTAAAATGATTCCCAAGTGGTGCATAGCAGGAACCTTCCCCTTGCCCTCCCTAAAAGAAACTCGCAGGTCTGTGCCCAAGTTATGTAATGGTTTTTGTAACTGCATTGATATTACATTTACACTGGATTCGATTTTTCTTTCCATGAAGGCTGGAAAAAAATACTTAGCCCAGCATCTAGGTTTCAGGAAGTTTGTCTGCATTGTAGACACCTAGAAGTAAGCTGGGGTGCAATTTCAGACACTGAACTAGCCTGAGCCTGCTAGTTTGTTCTTTGACATGCTGCTGTTGATGGATGTGATGGACATGCTTTTCATAGTCTGAGCAGCGTCTAGAGCCTGTTGAGTCTGGACTATTCAATTTATTGCAAAGCAGCCTTTGATACCAAAACAGGGTGGGAGATACATTTACATGTGCTCTAAATGGAAATGACTGCAAGATCAGCCTATAATGCTCTCCTTTTTGTTCCATGGAATTACTGATTGGCGTAATACTTGCAAGAAGAGGGACCTTACTCTGACTTCAAAATCTTTTTGACCTTATTTACAAGTCACGATCCCAAACAAAACTGTTTTCAAATGTGCATAACTGCTCTTTACATTACCAAATGGTCAGGTTTCCTTTTTTTCATGCTTATTTACAAACTCTATTTTAAAAAATAGCAGGAGGAGTTTTTTGAAAGATTTATATGAAATGCAGGCCCTGATCCTGATAGGGGCCTTCAGCCACGTGGACTTCTGCTGGGAAAGCAGCACAGTGAACTGTAAGCAGTCCAGGAAACTACTGGAGTGCGCTGAGGACAACTTCCTAATACAGGTGATGAAGAGCCTAACCTGAGGAGAGGCACTCTGGGACCTGTGGCTCACTAATACAGAAGAGCTTACTGGAGAGGTCAAGATTGGAGGTAGCCTGGGGTGCAGCAATCATGCCCTGGTAGAATTCTTAGTCTACAGATGAAGCAGGTGAAGTTGCTAAGCCACTAAAGTTGTGGCAGACTTGAGGAAGTTTCCACTGACTGGAAACGGGGAAATGTAACCCCCAGTTTTAAAAAGGGGAAAAAGGAAGACTTGGGCAACAACAGGCCAGTGAGTCTCACCTCTGTGCCTGGCAAGTTCATGGAGCAGATCCTCCTGGAAACTATGCTAAGGTACATGGGAAGTGAGGAGGTGACTGGTGACAGCCAACATGGCTTCACCAAGGGCAAATCATGCCTGACCAATTTGGTGGCCTTCTACGACGGTCTTACAGTGTTGGCAGATAAGGGAAGAGTGACTGACATCATCTGCCTGGACTTGTGCAAAGCATTTGACACTATCCTGCAACATCCTTGTCTCTAAAACAGAGAGACATGGATTTGACAGGTGGATCACTTGGTGGATAAGGAATTGTCTGGATGGTCGCACTCAAAGAGTTGATGAGCAGTGTCCCTCAGGGGTCCATACTGGGACCAGTATTATTTAACTTCTTTGTTGGCAACATGGACAGTGTGATTGAGTGCACCCTCAGCAAGTTTGCTGATAACACCAAGCAGTGTGGTTCGGTCGCTGGAGGGACGGGATGCCATCCGACGGGCTGTAGAGGTGGGCCTGTGCTAACCTCATGAGGTTCAACAAGGCCAAATGCAAGGCCCTGCATGTGGGTTAGGGGGCAGCCCCAGCACGAATACAGGCTGGGGGAGAATGGATTGAGAGCAGCCCTGAGGAGAAGGACTTCTGGACACTGCTGGATGAAAAGCTGAACGTGAGCCTGCAATGCACACTTGCAGCCCAGAACGCCAGTCATGTTCTGGGCAGCATCAAGAGAAGCATGGCCAGCAGGTCGAGGGAGGCGATTCTCCCTCTCTGCTCTTACAAGGCTCCATGCAAGTACTGCGTCCAGCCCTGGAGACCTCAGTACAAGAAGGACATGGACCTACTGGAGCAAGTCCAGAAGAGGGCTGTGAGGATGATCCGAGGGCTGGAGCACTTCTCCTACAAGGACAGGCTGAGAGAGTTGGGGGCTGTCCAGCCCGCAA